GTGTATAAATTCAATCAGTCACACGTGTTCAGAGACACTTGTAAAAGCTCAAACTGTAAATTTTCCTTACCAATTTTCCATGCATTTTTACTGGACATGAATAAAATCAAACACACGTGAGAAAATCCAGCCATTGTTGTCAGGTAAAATACTTTTTCTGCAGGAATATTCAAATTGAAAAAGACTTGTGTAAGCTTGCTTCTGTGACAATTGGTGCTTGTCACCTGCACCTTCCTAATTGGCCACCGACTGATGGAGATCACCTGCAGCAGGTTTCCTTCATGAGCTCCTAGGCTTTATCAGACGGCACTGAAGATCTGGTCCTCGCTGGAGCAACACATATGGTATTTGTCCTGGCTATTCATTATTGTTAATTACCYGTGTTTTTCCATGTTTAGTGATCACCTGTGCTCATCTGTGGACCACAAGCCGCCTGAGAAGAACCTGCCTCTTGCTCACCTGCCTGTCTGCCTCCAACCTGTGAAACAAATCTGCCTCCGTCCTCCTGTCTGCTTCTCCACCTGGAAATCCTTCACCTCACCTCCTTGGATTACAACCTCCTCCTCCGAGTCACTCTCACCTCCCTCTCCTGTAAGAAATCTCTTCATAAACTCTATTTTTAATCAATATTACCCCTCCAACAAAAATATTCACCTCATCTCCTTCCTTTTCAGCCCTGGAACCACTTCAAGATTCACTTTGTAAATAAAAACACTGACCTTTTGCAATCAGTCTCCTGTGTCTGTTCCTCTCTACATCGCTCACCTTTGACTGCCTGTAAACCTGATRGCTTCATGCTGGACTTTCCTATTTGACTCATTAGTGCCACTACTGTTGGAWGTGGAACTGCAACCACTCTTGGGCAAAGGACAGATGAGTGACAGGACAGGGGCACTTCAGGGGGCCAATCAGATTTCAGMTGGGGCCAATGCGTCTGTGGCCTCGCCCCTACAACCGCCCCTGCCCTAAACCTATCACCCCAGTACATAACTGACCCTAGGTCTAGCCTAAACCCAATTCATACCTCGGTCCTTAACCTAACCCAACACCCAAAATTAACATCTGTACCTGTGGGGACCAGGCTTCGGTCCGCACAAGGCTGTGTCTTTCTGGAAAATGGTCCCCACGAGCAAAAATATGTACACACACACCAAGCAAAATTGGTGTTGAATCTACAAAATGTGGTCATATTTAAGGTTTTGTAGCCTTGCAAATAATCTTTAAGTTGATCTTCATTACTTTAAAGTTACTCAAAGGCTGACTGAAAGATTACTGCACACAAAATATAAATTTCCTTTTCAAAAATAATGTTGTGAATGGTAATTATTTCAAGTCATCTGACTTGATCATGTTGCTCATTACATCATTCTCTAACATCAAATGGTTAGCAACATTGTTAAAACAAATTATCTTTATCTGACAAACCAGTTTTAAACTCATGTATTCACAATTAAAAAAAGGGTTTAGAGCTGTAATTCAAACATTAACTATATCTTTGAAAATGAACCATACGGAATACAAATTTTAAATGTTTGAGTTAATGCAGCTTCAACTAGTGCTGGTGGACTTAAATGTGAAAAAAAATGTATTAATGCTTTAATGGAAACTATGTAGTTCCATTATATTTAAAA